TGCATGCATTTGAAAGTAAAACTTGAGCTTCCGGGTTGCAACAACTATCTCCAAAGTTAGTTTTTGAATTTCTGATAACATCAATAAGAGCTTTTAAACTATGGAATACAACTGATAGCATCGAGGAGAGCTTTTAAACTGTGGAATACTAGTCGGGCCCCCAGCTTTTTTCGTATGATGGTAGAGCTTATTGTTGTTTCAGATGCGACTGCTCGTCTAGTTAGACTTTGAATCTCATTCAGAATAGTCATATTCAAGATTGCTCAGATTTGCCTTGAATGGGCATCGGTGAACTTCGTCCCAAAGTGCATGCTTTTCTGCTAGAACGAAAGAGTCTGCCAGAGTTAGATCTTCTTTCATTATCAGTTTTCCGAACAGTGGGTGGTTTGCTGGAAGTCCTTTTGGAAGGCTGCTCTAGCTATCGAGTCATTGCATCCGACTTTCCTTGCATTCTCTGCTTTAAACTTCCTCAAATAGTCACGAAGTGACTCATTTGGGTTCTTCTTGATGTCGAACAAATGGTTGGACTTCGTTTTGATCTAGCGACATGATGAATATTCTTTGGTGAAAACCAAAGAAAGTTCGTCGAAATTCCGGATAGATTATAGCGGCAGGGTGTAGAACCAATATTGCGCCTCGCCTTGTAGAGTGGCGGTGAATATCTTGCACATGAGATCATCGTTGTTTTGATAGAAGATCATTGCGCTTCGGTAGTGCTTTAAGTGTATTTTTGGGCTTTCATCCCCTTTGAAAGATGTGAAATATGGCATGTTGAACTCGCGTGGAGGCTCTGCCTGCTCGATCTTGTCCGTGAAGGGTGACCTGCTTATGTTGGTCATGTTCAGTCATAGTGCCTCGTCGATGACCTCGTTGCATTGGAATTTGCGTAATTGCTTGGTCAATAGTCTTTCTACTTATTCATAAATTTACCTTTGTTAAGGTAGTGGAGCTCTTGGCTGCCCCCAAACGTGACTTGCTGGTCTAGGCTATTTTTCCATGTGTTTGGCTCATCTATGCCACGGATGCGGTGCGTGTAGCGCGTTTCTAGCATGCGAGTGAGTTCTTCATAGGCTGCCGGTTGAACTTGAGCCGTATTGAGTGACTGCTTCTCTCCGTCCGTTGTGCTACCTACTCCGATGTGAGGTGGATGATGCTCTTTGCGGGCTTAGTCGTTAATGAACATTTCGCCTGGAAGGTTGCTCATGTTGACTATTGGAGTGTGACCTTAACCATGAATGTATGTTCGTCTGTGGGCTTAGTCGAGAGTGCATGCTCCTCGACGCTCTAAGACGAGAGTATATGCTATCTTGAAGGCCAAATCGGGAGTGTACACTGCCTGAACGCTCGGTTCGTGGTTGGTCGAGTGGCTGCTTGCTGGGACGCTGCTGGAGAGGTTCTTTGTCCCATTGTCCTACTTTGGCACACTTCGTTTGGGGCACGTTGCATCTCGGTACGCTGTAAGAGCTGGTTCACCAAGGTCGTCTGTTGTGTGAAGGCACTCGTCAACTCTATGACTTGTCGAGACAAGTGTTGTTCTCCATTTGGGTTGGAATAGCTTGGAATGAATGTGTTTTCTTGAGCAGTGGAAGTATGGTAGACTCCGGGTGCGAGATTTGAGTTGGAAAATGTCAAATTCGAAGAAGAATGTGGTGAAAATGCTCTTGGTTAAATCGTCGGTTCATAAATTTGAAACCGGGACGATTGAACTAATCCTGGATCGATTTGGGCTGCTTGGAAGGCCATGAGAGTGGGCTGCTCGGCTGGAGCAGGCTGCTTGGTAGGAACAGGTTGGGTTATAAGAGTGGGTTACTCGGTCGAAGCAGGCTGGGCCACGAGAGTGGGCTGCTCTGTGCGTAATGTATGCGAGAGTGAAGCTTGGGCCGTGGCCTTAGTATCGTGAGCCACCTTGGATGGCATGGCTCGGGCCATGGTGAAGACACCATGGACCTCACCACGGGTGGCTACCGAAGTAGCCACTGCGGTGGAAACTCGTGGTGGTGGTACCGCTCCCCCTATGATCAAATTTAGTCTTGTGGATCGCTGCGGTCCCATTTCTTGAATATTGGAATTTTCACTCGTGGAGTTTTCTAAATTTCTAGCCATTGTATTTCTCTTTTACGTTTTATCAAAGAATCTTTGCAAATAAAAAATTCTAATAATAAGGACGTATGAAAAAATACAAGTGGACTAGAATATAGAGAAAAACTTTTTTATGCGAGAGTTTTCTACGAGTGTGGGACTCAACTCTCAATAAAAGCACCAATTTATGGATGCAAATTTCTTCCTCCTTGATCTTGGACAAAATTGCACCTACAAAACAATTAATACCTTAGGGTCAAGGCCAAGCGCCTCACGCGCCCATAATGAATGGGGGGGCTTTGGCCGAAGAACCTCCGATGCCAAAGTTAGAAATTAGAGAGAAAAGTGTTTGGAGAGTATTGGGAACTTTGCAAGTGTGTTGGAATGATCTTTTGGTGAAAATGGGAGCCTATTTATAGGGATAGGGTGGCTGGTCCCCTTTGGATGTTTTTTAGGGTGTAACTTATGGTTTAATGTGTGATTTAATGGATTGATTAGGCAATTAATCCATTAATTGGTTAATCAACACATTTTTGGAAAATATTTTGGGGGTTATGTAATTTATATGGGATGTTTTGAAGGTTATGAAATAATTACCTTGTGGAAAATATAGGATGAGGATGGATGAAATAACTTTGAATTTGTTACCTATTTTGGGCACTTTTGATTTGGTTGAAGGATGATTGCCCGCTGCTCACGCGTAGAAACCCCATTGTACCTCAAGGGTATTTTTGCCCTCTTATGTCCAAAAATTCACATGTCGCCTTGTGATTATTTTTGGCTCCACAGGTGCGACACACCTTTCTGGCATGCGGCTTTGACGCCCTCTTGGCACGTCAATCCTTATAGACACGCTTACAACTAATATATGTGATCTCATCACTATTGCTAGATAATTAAAAGTGTTTGGCTCTGAAGATCTAGAATACGTCGCACTTCCATTTCACGTTGTGCTATATAGGGATCGAGATGAGACATAGTGGGAACCAACCACGCTAATTCGCATTGTTCATCATCAACATTGACGTTCTTTCATCTCCCTAACGATAGGAAGACTGCCTCATCAAAGTGAAGATCCGCATATCTAGCGATAATGAGACCGCATGTCAAGGGCTCTAATAGAGAATAATCGAAGGTGAAACATAACCGACAAAAATTCTCAACCTCATTTGCAGACCCATTTTGGTAGGTTGTGGCAGCAATATAAACACATAAATGACATACCCAAACACACGTAAATGCGAGACTCTAGTCTTCTATCTAGTAACCAACTATAACAATAATTAATGTTAGGTAGTGATGGGTTATAGGCGGACAAGTATTGCTGCATGTAAAATTGCATAGCCCTATGCAAAAATCGGAAGCTTAGTGCGCAAGACCAAGGTCCTAGCAATCAATTAAAGACACTTTATGAACATTTTTACGAGACCATTCTAGGTGTGAACATAGGAACAAGATGTTCAACTTCAATACCTTTAGGCATGCAATAGTCATGCAAAGTCTTTGACATAAATTCTCCAACATTATCCAGTCGAATCGACTTAATCCGATAATTAGGGTGGTGAGCCATCAGCTTAACAATCTACGCCGTGATCTTTGCAAATGCAGCATTGCCCGTGGACAATAGGCAAACATGTGACCAACGTGTCGATGTGGTCGTTGAATTGGTCCTACAAATATCTCCTTGAATCCTTTGGAGGAAAGCAGAATGGTCGACATCAATACTTGTTGGAGATGGTCTTGTGATTAACTGTCCCAAGGAGTAAGCTTGACATGACACATTTAAATGTACAATCTTATTTTTAGTAAAAGGATGCCCTTTGTAACTTTGAGGATTCAGTCATCATATCTCTACCCAGATGTCCTAGATGATTGTGCCAAGCTTAAGAACTTGCGGGTCTTCCACCTTAGGGCTGGCCACATAGTGGACCTTAGCGGTTCGAATGGTTGTTAGGTACAACCCATTTGGGAGTTGCTCTATCTTTTTTATATGCTTAGTGCCATTATAGGAAGTAATATAAGGATATTCCACTCCTCTTTCTTCGGTGGTTTTGTCTTAATAGCCATTTTCTCTAATATCTTTAAAGTTGAAAAGCATTCTACTAGAAATGTGGAGAATATAACGCTTCATTTATGGTAAACACCATACCATGGGCCTGAGAGAGTTGTTAGAGACGAGATTTTATGCATGAAGTTAGTGAAGTACTTGCATTCACGCAAGATGGTGTTCGTCGTAGCACTATCAACCAGCTAACTAACTTCTCCACTAGACATATGATTGCAAAGACACCGTTTTTGACTCAATCTTCCCTCTAGAGAGACAATTCGTCTTGATAACGTGTTGAAGGAAAATTTGTATGGTGAGGGTAAAGAGGGGACAACAAGAGGGAGAAGGAGAACTCGGGGTTGCGACTCTTCCTCATAGCCCTATGCCTTTATTTATACTAATTAGGTTGCCTTTACTTGCCTCACAAAGAATACAGGTCATAAAGGATTAGATATCCCAAATCCTAATTTTAAATTTGCACAATAACATTCCGAAACAATATTAACTACAACATATTAGAGTTTGCTCCATAAATATAGCTTTTATTCAATTAGGGTGCATACCTTGTGCTTCTTACTGTCAAATTAAAGGCGACTTAGAATCCGCACGAATATAGGATTCCATGTGCCCACCTTTAACATTATTGAACTATTATAGTTGGAATGAAAATTTTTCGCAATTTTTTTTACCATATAACTTTTCATATTTCGTTTTACGTGTCAATAAATCCGTGGATTTGACACCGAACAAAATACAGATAAACATGGATAAACCCCAACAAAATCCATTGCCACCCATTTATAGAGGAAAGAGACAATGATATGTATTCAAACAAAGTAAATGAGAAGGCAACACGTAATGGTAATCACTTGAGGAAGAAGAATACGGGCATCCAATATCAGTAATAACATTGCTGCTTCAATTAGATTCCGTTACTAATTCTTATATCGTAAGTACGTCAGAAAATATGAACCAATTTTATAACATCAGAGTCAGATGAACTAATGTAAGTATGGGTTTTACATTTCTACCTATCTACAACTTGCTGCTCCTAAACTGTATAATTTTGCATCTCACAAGTCCTTTGGATCTGTGGCGTCTGAACCCTCCAATTTGCAGTCCGTTCGTAACGCTGACAACCAAGAGTCCACCTGAAAACGCGACAACTTAATCGTATAGTTGATTATACGGAATTTGACAATTTGGCAGTGGGAAAAAAGAACGCAAGAAATCAACATAGAATGAAGGCATAGCTTTAAGAACACTACACCAAAACAAAGAAAAAACTGGCGTACCTGCGCCTTAGAAGCGCTTGAGCACTCGAATCGCAGTCCTTGACGAGTTAAGATACAAAACGCAGTTCGAGTTCCTTCATCGTCTCGTGTAAAGCTGGGCAAGGGGCTTACTTCAACAATATCAGCTAATAGGGTGGAGTCTTGAGGACTCAAATCTGGAAGAAGAAAGAGCTCATCAGTGGTCAGAATATGTTCAAGTCTGCATGGGAAGAATGACGCTAGGACATCAGGGGACTATGATTCCTTGAATAATGATTCCTTGAATATTTACCCGTGGAAAACAGGTAGAAGAAAATGCACGGCCCTTGCAAAACAACAAAGCGAGGAAGCCAGTCATCAACGTCAGTATCATCAAGGGGGGGAGGTTCCCCTGGTAGTGGTTTCCACCTCTATCAGATCGACAAGAGAGAATATAAGCAAACCATAATTGGCATTATGCACTAAGTACATGCTCAAAGTAAAAATTGACTAGGGGGTGGTCATTACAGTTCGGATGTACAGATAGCCAGAGAGACGAGCAGATCGCAAAATTTCATCAACGTGTTCCAATCTGCATAAAACATAAGCAGTTCATGATTGATATGACGAGGACATAATTTCAGTTCAAAGCCTATCCTAAAAGGGAAACAATTCTGGTCCACTAAAACAAAGGGATATAAGACCTCAGCTAAAAACTGAAAATGTTCAAAAGCATTATAACTATCATGTAGTGTGCAAAGACGCAAATCACATTTAATGGTAAAAGTATCAAGTTCCCTTACTGAGCTTTCAAGTGCGCTTCCTTCTCTTCTAAATCAGCAAGATCCGATCGAAGTGATTCTAGTTCTACAGCAGTTAGCTCAACCTGACAGTTAAAGCAATTCTAGCTGTTAGGGACATGGAATTTTCAGAAGGCTCAATCAAGGAACTGAAAGGGTTACTGAATCAACCTTTTCTTCCCCATCTGTGCTAGACCCCCATGGCAGTCCCCGCAGACTAAAGAATTTCAACATATATGCTTCACTTCTTAATTTTCTCCTACTCCACGAACGGGACCTATGCTACACCCAATAGCTTTAATTTGAATGACCTTATTCTTAAATTTTTTCTTGTTCTTTTATTTTCTCCAAAGAAAAAGAAATACCTCAGATAGTTATCAGTTCTTGGTCGCGAGATAAAGAAGCTATGTCTTGAAAAGAGTCGATATTGGGTTTGGATGCTTTAAAATGACCTGGGACGATCTTTATATTTCCAAGACTATCATCCATGAAGCTTACTTACACTTATAGAAGTGAGGGCAGACCTATGTTCATACCATGTTAATGAGAATCGATAATCAACACGTATAGAATAACAAACTGTAAATTATTATACAATAACTTAATCATCCAACCACAGCATCATATATGTGTATATCTATAGATTCTATGAAGATCAATTGCAGAGAAATATGGTTGTGGATCTCGTGTAATTAACTATGTTGTGGAATGGGAATCCTAGTTTTCGATCCTAGAGTCTAGAAATAAGTTATCTTGCAAAAACATTGAGATGTCATCAAAGAATTTTCATGTGAGGAATACATTTTTTCTGCAACAAATACAACTTAGTCCAAAAGAACAAAGCCTCGTACTAACTACTTTGATTCACCACAGAAATCCTTATTTTGCCTTCTGACCGGCGTCATCTTAATCAACAGCTATCCTTTCTAACTATTTCTTCCCCTCCAAAGTCTTAACCTTGAACTTCTAATAACCACCAAAACATCTGCACTGATCACTCACACTAAATCACATGAGATCCATAGCTATACGTTGCTCTGCAAGTCTGCATCCCCACGTTTTTTTCAGACATTTATTGCAGAAAAACAAAAAGCATATTAATTAACACTTGAAAAATTGAAATACACCAAAAGCAGGTCTTGCAACTTGGATTTAATCACATGAACTCAATTCAACACAAATTAATTAAAAAACGCATAATTCTCCACTGAATGATTTATGAAACTACCAAAAGCTGAGATATTAAAACATGGGGGAGAAGTAAAAGCATTAAAAATACATGATTTGAAGAGCAAAAAAAACACAGCAAGAATCTGTTAAACCAAATCTAATCAAAAGAATCATCATGTTACAAATAAATCTAATCAAAATCAAATAACATAACAATTCCACCAAAAAGAGCAAGATTCAAACTTACATGAATTTGATCGACTGAGTATACAGCATATATACCAAGCAAATTGCAGCATAAAAACAAAGAAATACTTTGGACACAGATAATTGTATTTATTGTATGTAAGAACTAAAAGCTGTGGGCACAGAGAGGGAATCGTAGCCGTACAAGGAAGGAGAGTTTAACAGGAAGACAAGGTAGCCGATGGGAGGTCGGAGGGTCCTTGTGTTCATGGGAAAACGTTTGACCCCATGCGGTGTTGACTATTTGGTAACATAAGTAGTTCAGCTTTAGATGTGATATGACTGTTTTACCCCCGCCGGGACCATGTGATGTTCTACTTGGTTTGCAAATGGATAGATAAACACAAAAGATGATTATATTCCAAACTTTGTAATTATCATGTCTGAAGTGTGATTACCCACCTAGCATTTGTTGGATATAATTGCTTTTATATTTTATTCCCTGATTGGCTTTAAGCGCCATCGTTGTTTTATAACCAAATCCCATGTCATTATTTTTTGTGTTCTTTTGTGCTTTGGGGAATCATCAATTTGAATAATTGATTATGTTGAATTGAGGTGAATATCTAACCATCATGAAATTTGTTTCGGACGTGTTTACTTATTCATAATCAAAATTAAAATAAGGAGTTAAGTTTTGATTATAGATTACTCATGTGTTTATAAGCACAAGTGGTTAAGAGTGAAAACATGAGTGAGACTTAGTACAACATATAAATTAAGAGGGTTGTTATTCCCGTCTCAATATCATATATTCCCACTCGCTTTTTAATGAGAATTTTAATTACAAGTTTTTTTTATTTGTAAAATGACCGATAAAGACCTTAAAAGCTATATAATAATAATATGTTGGATGCCAAAAGGTAACAGGAGCTCGAAACTTACATTGAGTTGTGATATGTATGGACAATATCATATATACTAAAACCTAGTTCGGGTGGGTACTGTTGATGACCAGTGCGATGACTGTTTTGCCCCTCGGTTTATCCTTGCTTTCCTCATTTGTGGTCGGCTTCGTATAGTAAATTTACGGTTTTGCTCTTTTCCATGCTTCTCTCATCTTTCATATGTCAGCTTCGAGTTCGAGAGTTTTCTATTTCGTTTAAACCCTTCTTTCTTTTGCTTCTTCTCTGATCTGTGCGTTATTCTCACTGTTTTTCCCGAATTGTTTGTTTTTCTTCAATATTGTGGTGTTTCGATCCCAAAATTTTTCGTATTTTAAGAGATCTTATTTCTAGTATCTGATTTGTGGAGGGTTTTGGATCCTTTTAAATGTGGGGTTTGATAGAGATATTATGCATGAGTATGAGATTGTGACACTTGGCATAAGATTAGTTAGGTAGTTAGATTAGTTATAATCTTGTGTTCTCTATAAATACCTTGTAAGATTGCTTACTCTCTAAGAAATAATATACTGAAGAATTACATTCAATCTCTCTCTCTCTTCCTCTCTCTCTAAAGCTTCTCTTTCTGTAAAACCTTTATTCTTCTCTCTAGGTTAACATGGTATCACTCGCCGCCATGGCTACCGCCTCTTCGATCCTTAATCAGCTTCTGCTATTGTCTTTGCTAATTGAAGCATTTCCATGCCACAATTGAATTGTGTTGTGTTCTTCTCAGTTTTCTTCTTCTTCAAGATTCTAGGGTTTCGACGCTCTGCAATTTCTGATCGGAACACTCTTCTCGTTGTCATGTGTGTTTCTGCACTCCAGGTGTTTGTGATTTCGCCGCTGAGAGGTATCTTTCTTTCTACCAGATTTTGTGCCTTGATTTCTTGCATCATGGTTACTGCTAGTCAATTGCAACTGCTCCAGTCTCTAATTACTGCACTTATTTCATCACTTCCTACTTCGGTGAATATTAAACTTGATGATTCCAATTACCTAAATTGGCAATTTCAAATGCAATTATTACTTGAAAGTAATGGTATCATGGGATTTGTTGATGGATCTGTCCCGTGTCCTTCTCGATGTGTTTCTCCATCTGGTCCCTCTGGTGTGGATTTGTCAAATTCATCATCTTCTGTTAATTCTGATGCGTATTTGATTTGGATGATGCATGATAGGGCTCTTATACAGTTGATCATTGCCACTTTATCTCTAGTAGCTATGTCCTGTGCTATAGTTAGTGTTAGTTCTCGTGATCTTTGAACTCGGTTAAGGGAACAATTCTCTACTGTTTCTTGCACTAGTATCTTTCAATTAAAGTCCAACTTACAAAACATTAAGAAAGGCACTGATACTGTGGCTCAGTACCTCCAAAAGATAAAAGTTGATAGGGATTATCTTACTGCTGCTGGTGTTTCCTTTGCTAATGAATATATCGTGATTTTGGCTTTGAATGGGTTGCCTCATGAGTATAATACCTTCCACACTGTTATTCGAGGACGAGAACAAGTTATTTCTCTCAAAGAATTCTGGTCTTAGTTGCTTGCCGAAGAGGCTATTGTTGATTCCAGTACACCTACACCATTTCTAGCTGCAATGGTTGCTACCAATTCATTATCGGCATCTAAAGGCCCATCTCCGTCTTTTTCCAATGGCTCCAGACAGTCTCATTTTGTTTAAAGGGGATTTAAGCAGTTCAATCAGTATAAGAACAAAGGCAAGGGAAAGTTTAATCAAGATTCTAGAAATTTTAATCACAGACCATTTTCTCAACCTCAAACTCATGTGTTTCCAACTTCAGCTCCAAGAGTACTTGGTTAAGCTCCACACTCTTCTTATGCACCTTTTGCTCCATCACTTGTTACATGTCAGCTATGTAATAGTGAGGAACATACAACACCATTTTGTGATTCCCCGCCTCCTACCAGATCGCAATGTCACATCTGTGGCAAAACCAATCATGTCACCTGATTTTGTTTTTACAATGAGAAAGGACGGAACTACATTGGTTCTGCTTCTCACTATTCTCCTATGCCTGGACAGCAATATGGTTCATATCCTGGACAACAATTTGGTTCAAATACTGGACAACAATATGGCTATTCTTCTCAGAGTTCTGGTCCTGGTTATCATGTGTCACAATGCTCACAGCCATCCATGCAAGCTATGCATATTGTCCTGGCTCAACCATCACAACCCTCTACATCACAGGCCACTCCTCAAGTGTGGCTTACTGATTCAGGCACCACCAACCACATGACTGCCGATTTAAACAACTTGTCCTTAGCTTCACCGTATCCATTCAATGAAACAATTCAAACCGTTAATGGTGAAGGTTTGAAAGTATCCCATATTGGTAGTACTGTATTTAACACTTCTGTGCAGCCTATCAAGTTAAATTCTGTGTTATATGTTCCTAAACTATCACATAATTTACTTTCTGTTCACAAGCTCTGCCTAGATAACAACTGCTATCTTATCTTCGATGTTTTTTGCTTCTGGATATAGGACAAAGCCACAGGGAGGATCCTCTTCCGAGGGCTATGCAGTAATGGACTTTATCCCATTCATTCCTTAGCTACTACCACTCTTAGTGTACCTCATCCAAAGCTACAAGCTAAAGCTTTTCTTGGACAACTTGTCAACTCTACTATATGGCATGGTAGACTGGGTCATCCTTCTAATTCCATTGTGTCTTTGATGTTGCATAAGTCAAACATTACATGTGCCAAAGATTCTGTCCCTATTATGTGTCCAAGTTGTTTAGAAGGTAAATTTTGTAAGCTGCCATTTCACATACCTGTCAATAAGTCTGTCATTCCTTTTCAGGTTGTGCATAGTGACCCTTGGGGTCCTGCACCTTGTACATCAGTTGATGGATATCGGTATTATGTTACCTTTATCGATGAATGTACTAGATACACGTGGATATTTCCACTCATCAATAAATCAGATCTTTGTGCCACCTTTATTGCTTTTTATGCTTATGTGTTGAATCAATTTTCTGCTACTGTGAAGATTTTCCAAAGTGATTGGGGAAGAGAGTATTGTAGTAATAAATTTCAGTCTTTTCTAGTTGACAAAGGCATTTCACATAAAAAATCATGTCCATATACCTCAGAACAAAATGGTTTGGCTG